TAAATTCGAGAATGCAATGCTGTCTTCTTATTCACTGGTGGGGAAATCACAACATATAAATTTGATGGGACGAACATACAACTATTACTGAGCTAGCCGCACAATCGAGTAGCGAGCATAAAAGGCAAACAAATCAGTTCGTTACATTGTTTTAATGGGTTAAGGATTTTTTTTTTAAGCATAGTTTCACGGATGATATCCGTGTATTGTACGGCAGATTTGCGAAAACTTTAACGTGATATTAAAGAGAAAAAAAATTTAAAAGCGATGCAAAAATAAAAAGGAGAGGCGAAAAAATTTTATATTTTAATTTTGTGATCTGATTTTGTGCTAAATATGTTAGTATTAATTGCTTGATCAGAGTCAAACTAAGAGAGTTACAGAATTTTAAGGGACCGAATTTTTACGTATTTTGAAGTATAAAAAACTTGAAATCGATTTTCCCGAAGATGTTATTTTTAAAGTCGGTGAACATCAGAACTCAAAATCTACTGAACCGATCTTTTTCAAAATTTCAACACTAATTCTCACATAAATCAACAGGTAATAAGGAAAAGTTTATTTTTGTATTTTCATCTATTTTTTAACAATAAATTAAGAGCGTTTTTTGAGCTGAAATCGCAATTTTCACTTCCAAGTGCAGCAAAAAATGAACAGAAGGCAAAAAAAAATTCATGATTCATTCATTCATTAGGTGGCACTACAACCCAATTCGTTTTTTGGCCGACCTCAGCGTCTCCCTCCAGACGTCTCTGCTCCTCGCGCGCCTCCTCCAATCGGAAATACTCAGTGCAGTCAGGTTCTCCTCCACTTGGTCCTTCCATCGGAGCTTTGGTCGTCCCCTTCGTCGTCGCCCGTAGTCGACCCTCGCTTCAAACACCTTCTGAGCTGGAGATTCTTTATCCATACGCACAACGTGGCCGAGCCAGCGCAGACGTTGTATCGTGATGCGCCGGACCACGTCCACGTCGTCGTACAACTCGTACAGCTCGTGGTTCATCCGAATGCGAAAGTCGTCCCCAATCCGAACGGGACCAAAGATCTTGCGGAGAATTTTTCTCTCGAACACTCCAAGCGCTGCTGCATCCGTCAGTGGTATTACCCATGCTTCTGCGCCATATAATAGCACGGGTAGGATGAGTGTCTTGTAGAGTGTTAATTTTGTTAGGCGAGAGAGGTCTCTATTGCACATTTGCTTACTCAGACCAAAGTAGCACCTATTGGCAAGTGTGATTCTTCGCTTGATCTCCAGGCTGACGTCATTTTCGGTGTTAATGGCAGTGCCAAGGTACGTAAACTCCTTTACTACTTCGAAGGTATAGCTGTCCGCAACCACATGGGAGTCTAGGCGCCGCGCCTCCCTGCTTGTCGACAGCATATACTTGGTCTTGCCCTTGTTTACCGCCAAACCCACTTTTGCGGACTCTTTTTCGAAAGCCGAAAATGCAGCAGTGACATCACGCTTGCTGCGGCCAATGATGTCAATATCATTGGCATACGCAAGGAGCTGGACACTTTTATAAAAAATAGTCCCAGATCAATGTACACCGGCTTTCCGCAGAACCCCTTCCATCACGAAATTGAAGAGATCGCACGCCAGGGGGTCGCCTTGTCTGAAACCTCGAACGGTATTAAAAGGTTCGGAGAGGTTCGTTCCTACCTTGACAGAGCTGATGGTGCTGCTCAAGGTCATTCTGCAAAGACGTATTAGCTTTGCAGGAATACCGAACTCAGACATGGTGGCATATAGGCGTTCCCTCGTCGGGCTATCGAATGCAGCTTTATAATCGAAAAAGAGATGGTGTGTGTCGATGTTATTCTCGTAGGTTTTTTCCAGGATTTGGCGTAAGGTGACGATCTGGTCTATGGTGGGCTTACCAGGTCTGAAGCCGCACTGATAAGGTCCAATCAGTGTGCTGGTATACGGCTTCAGTCCTTGTATGAGATGGTAATCAGGATGATTCCCCGGTAGTTGGCGCATATCGTCGGGTCACCTTTCTTTAGTACAGGACAAAGGACGCTGAGATTCCAATCGTTGGGCATGCTTTCTTCTAGCATATTTTGTATAGGAGCTGATGCATGCACCTTATCAGCTCTTCGCCGCCGGCCTTAAACAACTCTGCAGGCAGTCCATCAGCACCGGCTGCTTTGTTGTTTTTGAGCCGCTTTATAGCAACTCGAACCTCGTCATGGCTAGGCAGTGGTATATCCACATTGTCGTCGATTGGTGGTATCGCATGAAATGCATTTAAAATTGCTATCTCCAATGAATCTAAAACTTTTGCTTAAGCAAAGAAATCCACGAGCAATTGAGCAAAAGCAAACGAGGTGTTCGAGGTGTAGGAGTCGTTGTCTCCTGCTTGTGTGCTTAACGCAGTTTTCTACGCTCTCGAGACGTCCCAGCAGCACAAAAGACGAATGCCAAAATGCGACAAGCCACTCTTCGGCAAGCGGTGTTCGGTGCTGGTCGGCCTGGTGTCTCTTTGATTTTTATACCTTGAAGAACCTTAAAATTTTGATATAACTTAACCTTCGGAATTAAATTAGTTTATTTTGATATCTAGTGAAATTTGTTAAATAAAATTAATCTTGAAGTTACTTCGGTTGCATCTATTTTTTCTTGTCGAATAAAAGTCCCCAGAGCGGTAGACGCTCATCACTGACAATTTAGCATTTGTCACAACATTTTTGGTGGCCCATGAGGGGAACCATTTGATCATAACTTCGTGATTACATTTGAAATTAATTTTCAACAGTTATCTGCCCATAAATTGGCAAAAAGTGGTTCTTTGTGTGTTCATAAAAATCTAAAAGTTCAGTGCCAGCACGCACACAAAAAGAGTCAGCCATATACCAAACCTAATTGGTACATAGACGCCGTTTTTAAGTTACCGGCGTCTCTTTCTATACTTTGTGCTTTCGTATGATCGGCCGAGTGCAACGGCCACATACCCGTACATATATACGTCACGTCGCTGGACCGCTAGAAGCGCAGCTGCAGTGATTCGCTAAATATCGGCGTCTCTCTTTCAACATTTGCCTCGTTGGATGATCGGCCGAGTGCAACGACCACATACACCCACGTCACTTCGCTGGACCGCTGGAAGCGCAGCTGCAGTGACAAGCAAATCACCGCCTTGCTTTCGCCTTTGTCGCTCTACTCTGCCTGGCGGACGACAACAACAACAAACGTTAAACGCTAACGACTGCGAAACACAGGGTGTTCTTGCACAGAAAGGGTGAGTGTTTTGTTATTTGCTGCTTGTATGTTGGTCATAGATTGAGTGCAATTATTTTTGAGTCAAATGGAGAAAAACGAAAGTGAACTAGAAGTCTCATTGGAGAGAGCGGGTTATGAAGATCTCTGTGCTCTTCAATTTGATATTCTTACACGATTAACACAGCTGCATACGAATTTTAAAAAAGATAGTGCAGCTCGAAAAACCAAAGCTTATTTTCAACTCCGTCGCGATAAATTATAAGAACTTTCTAGACAATTTAATAAAAATCACAATCATAAATTGATTGTTATTTCCAAATGTCCGCGTACGCATGCGTATTTTAAAAATGCAATTGAAGATAAGTTTGAGCAAAGTTATACCACAGTTTTTTGTGCTGTTTTGGATGCCTACGATGCCCTGCTGACAACAACAAATACTGATACAGCAGTTGGAGCTCCGAGCCATAATTCTACGGTGGTTTCTACAGCAGTGTCCTCAGTTCAGCTCCCTAAGTTACCGGTCCCCACTTTTTCTGGCAAACATACAGATTGGCCAGCCTTTTTGATGTATTTTCACAGCTTATAAACGAGAATACGGCACTTTCTAGCATTCAAAAATTCCATTTTCTAAAGCAAGCTTTGCCAGGTGATTGCGATCAGGATGTCCAGCAAATGGATTTGACGGAAGCAAACTATGCAGTGGCCTGGAATCTCATCGTTAGGAGGTATAATAACCCAAGGTTATTATTCATGCACCATATGAATGCCCTATACGACTTGCCTGTTATCGTCAAGGAATGTTCAACGGAATTCAAGCACCAATTCAACGTCACCAATGTGTGCATAAACGAATTCAAGCGTCTCAAAATCGCAATCTCAACTTGTGACCATTGGATAGTGATTCATCTCGCGACGAAACTCCCATCAACTACTCTCCAAGCCTGGGAGCATCACCTGGGTAGCTCAGAGGAAATTCCAACCTTTTCGATGTTCGAAAATTTTCTAAACAATCGCCTTGTTAGTATCGAAATGATAGAAAGTCGCAAAGGGAACCCATCAGCAAAACCCACATCGGTCCAAAATGCATCGCATAAACCGTCATACAAGCTTCCGAACAACTCTAACAACAATAACATACATAAACGCGGCAGCTACCATACCACGAGCGGTACCAATTCAGCAATGCGTGGCACTCATTGTAGTCGCAACCACATTTTACGGCGTTGTCCAGAGTTCCTTTCTAAAGATTGTTTTGCTCGAAAACTGATAGCGGAAAACACCAAGGTTTGTCTGAATTGTTTAAGCCCTTCGCATAATTGGTCTCAGTGCAGTAGTATAAAGAATTGTTCTCAGTGTGGTCAACGGCATCACACTCTTTTACATTTTCCTAGTCAGCCTAATAATACTAGATCTAATGTTCCACAGTGTCAGTCAACGAGGGATTCATCCTTATCGGCAAGCTCAATTCAAGCCAACACAACTCAGCTTGTGAGTGCAATGGCTTGTGAGTGCAGTGGCTTCTTATAAGTCACCCACAGTGATTCTAGCGACGGCATTGGTTCGACTACACAACAACATCACAGGTCAGTCTATGATAGTACGCGCTTTAATTGATCATGGCTCCGAGGGAACTCTTGTTACGGGAAATGTCGTCCAAGCCCTTGGACTAAAGCGATTCACTGTTTCTGCTGAAATCACGGGAGTTGGCGAAAACTCAACAAATAAGTGCAAGCATCGCACGAGGTTTACATTAAGCTCATGTATACACCCTCAGTTCCAAATGTCAGTGGATACGGCGTTTGTGCTTCGCTCTTTAACATCACCTCTGCCAAGGATGAATATCCACCTGCAAAACTGGTCGCATATCCAAGGACTCGAATTGGCAGATCCTACCTTTACGCGATCCGGTCGAATCGACTTGCTGATTGGCGTGGATGTCATACCTCAGCTCATGCTGTCTGAAGTTCGGAAGGGAGCTCAGGATCAACCAATAGCTCAGCGCACGCAACTGGGTTGGATTGTATTTGGTAAGACAAACCAAACACTTTCGCATGCCATATCCATTCGATGCCATCAGACAAATTTGGAGTCTTTGGTCAATAAGTTTTTTGAACTAGAGAAAATTCCCGAAACTCGACAGTTGACAGCAGAAGAACAATGGTGCGGGGATCATTTCAAACGCACGCATACACGTCAACCCAATGGGAAATATAAGGTTCGGCTCCCATTCAAGACGCAGTTCGATTCCTCGCAAGTTCTTGGGAAATCTCGGCAAATAGCCCTTAATCGCCTCCATATGTTGGAGCGCAAGCTCCAACCAGCGTTACATCAGCAATATTCAGCCGTCATCCAAGAGTATTTTGATCTCAACCAAATCATCGAAGCTGCAAGCACTGAGGAGCAACATCGGACTCACACGCCATTGGGGCAGGTCGGGTTTGCGGCATGCACTCTGCCTCATCACGCTGTGCTAAAGGAGGAGAGTACCACCACCAAATTACGCGTGGTCTATGATCCGTCTTGCAAAACTTCCAATGGCCGTTCTCTCAACGATGTCCTTTGTATAGGTCTCGCGTTGCAGAATGATCTTGGTGGAGTCATACTAAACTGGCGCATGGTCATGACACCGTTGATGGAGCTATCAAAATTCGAGAGGATCTAATTGCTGCACTTCAATCAGCTGGCATGTGTCTCAGGAAATGCGCATCTAATCATCCGGACTTTCTGGTTAACATTGCCCAAGAACATATGTCGAATTCAACCATTTTAGAAGTCGACAATCATGATTCAATAAAAACACTTGGTTTGTATTGGCATCCTAAAAGAGATATTTATGGCTTTCATATAAAATTCAAAATTAGTCAAGAATTTACTAAACGAGCATTACTCTCCACAGTGGCCCGGTTGTACGATCCATTAGGATTTATTGCCAGTCATCACAACTGCCAAAGCAATTTTGAAGGACGTCTGGAGTGTTCGTATTGAACGTACTGCTGGAGTTTCCTCGCCGTTAGAGTGGGACGAAACACTTCCTCGAGATTTACGAGAACGCTGGAACGATTATATCAAAGTGCCAAAGACTGATACCGACCCCCACACCCCACCCTCACAGCTATGTCGACGGCTAAGGAAATGCTCTTCCTTTCGAAGATCGTGATAATAATAGTTGTAGCTATTGATTTACGCTTCTAAATTAAATTGATTTTGGTGTGGGGGTCGGTATCAGTCTTTGGCACTTGCGACCTTTAATTTGTTACTTGCAAAACGAGCGCGGTAGCCTACAAATCTATCATAAAGGCTGCGTTTCCTGATTATTCAAATACTTTTCACTTTATCAAATGGTCTTACCAGCACGATAACGCTCCCATCATACAGCTAGGGTGGTAAAAGAGTGGATTAAGGCTCAAAATGTGGACTTACTTGAATGGCCCCATATTCACCTGACCTTAATATAATCGAAAACGTATGGGGGTTGCTATCGCGCAAGATATATGAAGGAGGCAGGTAATTTTATTGCAAAACAACTTTAGTTAAGGCAATTAAAACAGCCTGGACAACAATTTCACTGCAAATACTGCACAATTTGTATAGCTCGCTTCCCGATCGTGTATTTGATGTTATATCGGACAACGGAGGGTTCACTTTTTATTAAAATTAGTAAAATGTACTTTAAAAATGTTCATAAGTATCAGCTAAGTTCAAAAAATATGAAAACTATCCTTAGTTACTTAAATAATTTTAATTGTTTTAGGTTGAACCTTTACAGATGACCCAAAAAAAAAAACATGAATTTTGTTAACCTTTCAGAAGAAAAATTAAATAAGGAATAAATAATATGTTTCTGAAAAACCTTCTTCAGTATATTATTATAAAATGATTCAAGAGTTGAAGAAAAAAAAATTATGGAAATCGGTACACTGGTTTAGGAATTATAGACAAATCACTTCCTCTGAGATCATGAACCTATTCAGTTGAGCGGCAGTGTATGTCCTTTTGTAGATCAGCAGAATATCTTGCGGGTGCGAGGGAGATTAAAGAATGCTATCCACATCTCTGCTAACCAACGAACTCCGATCATTCTACCCAAGTCACATCACTTCACTGAGTTTGTGATCCGAAATGCTCATTATAATACACTACATGGAGGAATGGATCTCACACTAGCGACTATTCAACAGATATTTTGGATTATAAACGGAAAACAAGCAGTGACACGAGTCCTACGTAAATGCGTTCCCTGTTTCAAACATCGTCCAAAACCAGCATCGCAGTTAATGGCAGATTTGCCATTTCATCGGGTAAACCCCCCAAAACGAGCATTTGAAGCTACTGGCGAGGACTACACTGGCGCTTTGGAAATTAAGGCATCTCGATTTCGTGGACATCATACCTACAAAGCATATATCGCTGTTTTCGTTTGCTTAGCAACCAAAGCAATCTATTTGGAGGCCGTCACAGGATTGTCTACCCAGCATTTCCTATGGGCTTTGCAGCGTTTTATTGGACGCCGCGGATTTTGCAGGCATACCTATGTACAGCGACTGCGGCACAAATTTTATGGGTGCGGACAAATCGCTTCAATTGTGGAAGAAGGAATTTGTAAAAGAAATGACAAAGACTGTGCTGCTTGAATTAACATCTCGCAACATTCAGTCGCATTTCAATCCTTCACACAGCCCTAATTTTGGAGGCTTGTGGGAAGCGAACGTGAAAGCAGTCAAGAGACATCTGTTTCGTACTTTCCAGGGGGTCAAGATGACCTACGAGCAGTTGAACACTGTTCTTGTGCAAATAGAGGCATGTTTAAACTCTCGACCCTTGTGCCTGTTGACGTCAAATATTGAGGATCTCTCGGCTTTGACTCCGGCTCATTTTTTGATCGGTGATTCCATGATGTCTCTACCAAATCCCACCACAGCGGATAAATCTTTGGACTTGCAGTTTTTTGAAGGCCAACGACTGGTAAGGCAGTTTTGGAAGCGTTGGAGCGCAGACTGGTTGTCACATTTACAAGCTCGCCCAAAATGGTGGCAAGTAAAACCCAATCTTAAGGTAGATGATATAGTCATCATAAAGGATGATCGATTCCCCCCGGCGGAATGGATACTTGGACGAATTATAGAACTGCATCCTGGATCAGACAACCTCGTACGTGTGGCTTCCGTTAAAACCTTGTCAGGAATATATAAGCGATCGCTTTCAAAACTATGCTTTCTGCCTTTAGATAGAAGCTCAGTAGCTAAAGGTCCCGATTCTACAAATTAACGACAATTATTTTGCACATCTTTGATCCAACACATGCATGCTCTAACAAACACTTGTCTTTTCACAGCGTTTAATTGGCAACAAGGGAAAAGCACTGGAATTTAATACTGGGATCAGTATTGGCGGGCGGCATGTTCGAGCATCTAGGTATTAAGAGTAGTTCGTAGGAGACAAAGAGTGTGCTTAACGCAGTTTTCTACGCTCTCGAGACGTCCCAGCAGCACAAAAGACGAATGCTAAAATGCGACAAGCCACTCTTCGGCAAGCGGTGTTCGGTGCTGGTCGGCCTGGTGTCTCTTTGATTTTTATACCTTGAAGAACCTTAAAATTTTGATATAACTTAACCTTTGGAATTAGTTTATTTTGATATCTAGTGAAATTTGTTAAATAAAATTAATCTTGAAGTTACTTCGGTTGCATCTATTTTTTCTTGTCGAATGAAAGTCCCCAGAGCGGTAGACGCTCAACACTGACAATTTAGCATTTTTCACAACACGAGTAGAGGACGAGTGTAGCTTTGCCTACCTGTAGCGAATGAAAGATTTGGCAATTCGTGGAGGTATTTATACATATAATATAAATAAGCTCTATGCGCGTGTATGAGGCTTGAGCCATAAATTACTATCTGTGAGCGAGTGCCGCTGACACTCATAGTTTAAAGTACAAGCTATTTGGATCCAAAAATTATGTAATCACTTAAAGATGTGTAGATTTCAAATTGTGATATTGTGGTCAAGAATTCGAATTTATAGGTGGATTTTGGATTTATAAATAAAAAATATCATCGAGTAACTATATTTGGGCGTTTTTGAGGCCTTAATAAAAAAATTGAAAAGGGATTGTCAATATCTGGCGTATTCGACGCCAAAAACATCGAAAGTAAAAAAAAAAAAACTTTAAATCATCTATAGAGGAGTCGAAGCCAAAAAATCGTATTAGGAAGAAAGAATCGCCAAATAACAAAAAACAGAAGCTGAAATTAAAAACAATACAATTATTTTCGGGACCGGCAGCAGCGGCAAACATTGAACCGAGAACAGCAATGGTGACATCATCGCAAGCGGCAGCAAAGTCATCAGCAGCGGTAGCGCCAAAATCAGCAGCAACGACAATCATCAGCTGCACCGGCAGCAGCAGCAACAACAGCAACGAAGAAAATAAATATATATTTATAAAAGAAAAAAATTTAGATAGTCAAGATGTTGTCCGCTCAATAATAAAAATTAATAAAACTGCAGAAATTACGAATGCCAGTAGGGAATTCGAAGAACTCCCATGCTTATCATTCAAGTTCCTGAAAAAGTTCGATACACTTATATACAAGTGTATCAGAAATCATCAATCATGACTACTTCACATATTATATAATCATTATGAGGAAATTATGCTGTGTTTTGAAAAATAAAATCCCGCATTGACTAATTATTAACTGAAAAGTCCTATAGCTGGAATACGCAGGAAAGAGAAGAAAGCAAGTTAGATAGGGCAATTGACCAATTTGAAACTTACTTAAAAGAAACTTTTGACGGCACTAAAGACAATAGGATTATATCTTTTCAAATTAGAATGGAAAAACTAAAGTATTATTGGGACAAAATAGTTAGCCTGAAGCAAGTCGAGGTGACTGATGTCACTGATAAGAGGTATGATTGAATTCTGGATGAGCTGAAAATTGATTTATTTACAGTTACAATAGCCTGAAGAAAAAATCATGGAAATAGAATAATAGGAATGGAATAGGAATGGAAGAAATAGCTGTGATAAATCCAAAATTTAACGATTGGCCAACTTTGCCTAAAATGCAGGTTCCCACATTCTTTAGGGATTTCAAAGATTGGGACCTATTTTATGAGTTGTTTAATGAACTCATTCATTCAAAAGAGGATCTAAGTCCTGCCTTAAAATTTAATTATTTAAAGATTTTACTTGAGGGAGAAGCTATTATTGGCTTCTTTGGTTAATTATGAGACCGCTTGGAAACTATTGACCAAGCGGTAAAAAAATAAACGGAAATATTTTTCGAACAGATGAATCGCCTTCTTGAGCTTTAAAACTTATGTATTGACTCAATGAAATAGACAAAAATGTTTATTGACACTATAAATGAGTCTGAACCATGATACAAATAAAAAAATTTAGAGCAACGACTAAGTTTGATTAACTCAATTCAGGATGAAAAGCCTGTTAAAAAGAATTGCTCACTAACATTTGACCCATTTGCAAAGGTGTTGGGTACACAATAATTTATTTGTAACGAATTTAAAGCCTTAAATCCTTTTAAAGCCTTAATAAATAGAAAAAAATTTAAAACTTTTTTGGATTTTGGATGCCTTAAACCCAGGTATAACAAAAAAAAAAAAAAGCTAGCTTCGGCAAGCCGAAGCTTATATACCCTTGCAGTCAACAAATATGTAAAATAAAATACATATGGTAGCTATATGATATAGTTGTCCGATTTTGATGAAATTTGATTTGTAATTCAAGATTCGTTAAAGAACTCTATATTCCAAAAATTATGCTTGTCTGATGAAAAAACGATGTTATAATTTTATTTCCGTTATTTCTATAATGATTTTTCGATCTGCCAGCTAAATAATAACGTCGTCAGATTTTAATAAAATATTTTTCTTGATTCAAGGGTTATTAAAACACTACATATTTTGAAAATCATGCTCATGGGACTAAGAACGAGGACGTTATAATTTTTTTCCATTATTTATATATTTTTTTCTATCTTTCCAATGGCAGTTAGAGCTTTAATAGACAGTTTTTCACAAAGCGAAATAGTTTCTGAGGAATCAGCGCAGATTCTAAGCTTAAAACAAATCTTATGTCAAACAATGATAAGTGGAGAAGCGGGCGATATGGATATTGTGGCTTCCACAAATGACAAAGACTGTGCTGCTTGAATTAACATCTCGCAACATTCAGTCGCATTTCAATCCTTCACACAGCCCTAATTTTGGAGGCTTGTGGGAAGCGAACGTGAAAGCAGTCAAGAGACATCTGTTTCGTACTTTCCAGGGGGTCAAGATGACCTACGAGCAGTTGAACACTGTTCTTGTGCAAATAGAGGCATGTTTAAACTCTCGACCCTTGTGCCTGTTGACGTCAAATATTGAGGATCTCTCGGCTTTGACTCCGGCTCATTTTTTTGATCGGTGATTCCATGATGTCTCTACCAAATCCCACCACAGCGGATAAATCTTTGGACTTGCAGTTTTTTGAAGGCCAACGACTGGTAAGGCAGTTTTGGAAGCGTTGGAGTGCAGACTGGTTGTCACATTTACAAGCTCGCCCAAAATGGTGGCAAGTAAAACCCAATCTTAAGGTAGATGATATAGTCATCATAAAGGATGATCGATTCCCCCCGGCGGAATGGATACTTGGACGAATTATAGAACTGCATCCTGGATCAGACAACCTCGTACGTGTGGCTTCCGTTAAAACCTTGTCAGGAATATATAAGCGATCGCTTTCAAAACTATGCTTTCTGCCTTAAGATAGAAGCTCAGTAGCTAAAGGTCCCGATTCTACAAATTAACGACAATTATTTTGCACATCTTTGATCCAACACATGCATGCTCTAACAAACACTTGTCTTTTCACAGCGTTTAATTGGCAACAAGGGAAAAGCACTGGAATTTAATACTGGCCAATACTGATTGGCGGGCGGCATGTTCGAGCATCTAGGTATTAAGAGTAGTTCGTAGGAGACAAAGAGTGTGCTTAACGCAGTTTTCTACGCTCTCGAGACGTCCCAGCAGCACAAAAGACGAATGCTAAAATGCGACAAGCCACTCTTCGGCAAGCGGTGTTCGGTGCTGGTCGGCCTGGTGTCTCTTTGATTTTTATACCTTGAAGAACCTTAAAATTTTGATATAACTTAACCTTTGGAATTAGTTTATTTTGATATCTAGTGAAATTTGTTAAATAAAATTAATCTTGAAGTTACTTCGGTTGCATCTATTTTTTCTTGTCGAATGAAAGTCCCCAGAGCGGTAGACGCTCAACACTGACAATTTAGCATTTTTCACAACACGAGTAGAGGACGAGTGTAGCTTTGCCTACCTGTAGCGAATGAAAGATTTGGCAATTCGTGGAGGTATTTATACATATAATATAAATAAGCTCTATGCGCGTGTATGAGGCTTGAGCCATAAATTACTATCTGTGAGCGAGTGCCGCTGACACTCATAGTTTAAAGTACAAGCTATTTGGATCCAAAAATTATGTAATCACTTAAAGATGTGTAGATTTCAAATTGTGATATTGTGGTCAAGAATTCGAATTTATAGGTGGATTTTGGATTTATAAATAAAAAATATCATCGAGTAACTATATTTGGGCGTTTTTGAGGCCTTAATAAAAAAATTGAAAAGGGATTGTCAATATCTGGCGTATTCGACGCCAAAAACATCGAAAGTAAAAAAAAAAAAACTTTAAATCATCTATAGAGGAGTCGAAGCCAAAAAATCGTATTAGGAAGAAAAAATCGCCAAATAACAAAAAACAGAAGCTGAAATTAAAAACAATACAATTATTTTCGGGACCGGCAGCAGCGGCAAACATTGAACCGAGAACAGCAATGGTGACATCATCGCAAGCGGCAGCAAAGTCATCAGCAGCGGTAGCGCCAAAATCAGCAGCAACGACAATCATCAGCTGCACCGGC